CCACTTTGGACACATATTCATGAATGCAAATAGTGTCTTCCCAACAAACGAGTAATGGGGGAAGAGGAAGAGAAGAAGCAAAGGGAAATGTGAGAGCTCTTAAATAAATAATAATACTCACACTCTTATGCAAACCTTAATTTACAGATTCAAGTGCTTTGGGAAAGTAGGCATTGTTGACTCCTTTTTTATTCACAGACAGTTAGAAGCTATCTGTATTTTAAGAAATCCATTGTTTTCTTCCTACCCAATTTGTTAACTCTTGGCTGACACTGGACATGGTGTTGCTGGTAGCAGGACAAGCAAGTATAATTAACAGCAGCCAGTTGAGCATGTTTACAAAGAAAAGAAGCTTCATCTCACCTTTCCAACCTGTACACTCCTTCTGCACCTGTACACGAAGCAGACCTCAAAGGTACTGAAAAAATATCCAAACCTTTGGGCTCAATGATGACAGAAAGATGCCAGCAGAAAGTCACAATAAAATATTCTCTGTCCTATTCTTATGCTGAATTAGTGAAACGGGAATTTGAACATTTTTTGGAAATACAGAGGTATACTTCACAGATTTCTGACTCCATCATTAACTATTTTTCCTAAAGGAAATAGATCTAAACTCCGGCTGGTTGCTCAAGTCCAAAGAGGCAATACTATAGCAGAGACCATCTGCTTACTGTAAAACGTGGATGTTGCTAACTTTTAAAAGCATTATGAACAATTCCTCTGAACAGGAAAACATAATTTTATCACAATAAAAAAGATCAATTGATAAACTCTGGCACAATATGACCTAATTAAGCTATCGTTTTTAAGTCTTGCTAAGTATCTCTCTCATATTGCTGGAACAGTTTAATAATCAGTTAATGCATTTTAATTAAAATTGCTGCACTATCAGTAAAAATTACACTATCACAAACCTACAGCTTCCCTTACTTTAAAATTGTTTCTCCGTCTAAGTAACAAACATAACTTAGTTCAGCAAGAAGACAAGAATTGCTTCTTAATTGTACTGGAAGGACACTTTCTTTTAAAACCTGAAGGTAACAAGTGTCATTTTGCATATATTAAGATTTAAAGAGGTGTCTCTGTTACAGCTGCTGTGTAACTCAAGACTTTCAGAGTTGTAAAACTGTAACAGTATGCTAATTTCTATAAATTATATATAGCCCATTTACAATTCGTTACGTTCTGTTCTTGATCCCCACATCATGCTTGCATTGGTCTGCTATTTATTTATCAACTCTGTCTCCACAGGCCTCATAAATTGTTACTGGTTGCAGGAAACAAGATTTGACTTACTAGCCCTCTCCCCTGTCAGTCACAGCAAGGGTTTGCACGTGTCACATATCACAGAGCACTTTGTTTCATTATTATGTGAGTTTGAAAAAAGTCCATAGAAGTTCTTTATTGGAAAAATGCTGTTGAATACAATAAAAGAAGAACAAAATACAGAGCTTGTAATATTCAGAGATAATCAGAGCAGACATTTCAGAATAATTCTTATGTATGACTTTTCCACAGATTGAAGTCCTTGATGAGATTTAATTGTCCTCTGCTTTCGGCTGTTCTTTTCACTGAAACTTAGCATCACAAATAACAACCAGGATTTTTTTCAGATCAGATGCACTAAGAACAATAGGGACCACTGTGTGTGGGATGAAAGCCTGTCTCAGGCACTCACTGTGAACTGCAGCCTGCCAAGAAAAGCAGTGATGGGGATGTGGACAGGACAGAGCTCCCCACCTGTGCTCGGGGACCTGGACATGCCCCAGCTCCTGCAAGGATGCTAAACATGCACAGGACAGGTACACCAAGTCCTGGCAGCAACTGAGCATCAGTTTCTAGATGTGGTGCCTTGGGAGCGCATGCCTATTTCTCATGAATGAATAAATAGTGTCACAAAGTACAAGCCCTGGAAAATGGGTAAATGGGAACGCAGCAAACTGACAATGTTTCCAGTAGAGTTTACAGTATGATTGCATACACCAAACGAGTGCCCAAGGCTCAATCCAGCTCCTTCCCCTTCTACTCGTAGAATTAGTCCACATGAATGTTGTTACCAGTTGCAGTTTGTCTTTCCTGTTTGTGATAAGTCATGCACTTACCTGCAAAGCTGAAGTGCTCTTGCGTAGCTCGATGTTACAGAGATGAAGACAGCAAACCATCACAGCAAAGGGTAGCGTGAGGAAGCAGAAATAGCTTGTACAACTCCTCTATTTGTAAAATCAAACATGCTATTGTGCCTTCTACTGACTGACTTACTGATATTTCCTCTGGAAAGTCACTGACTCTTGTTCTTAGTCCCATACACCATTTCCAAAAGGTGTAGTAAATATACTACGTGGCAGATTCAGCTGCTGGTCTTGCATTTTGAAAATTAAAGCAGACCATAAATGGTATTAAAGCAAAATCAGCATGATCTGTTCAGGGGGCATATAGAACAGTTCCCAGCACCTTTAGAGTAATCTGTAAACAAAATACATAAGGCTTATTATGCCTGATAATAGTGTAATAATATCTGATGTTTGCATAGTGTGTTTCACGTTAAAGAGAATTAATCTGTTGCAGCACATTGAAGATGTAAGATTGAGATAAATGGTTAAGAGCAATTCCTCGTGAAGGACAAGTTAATATAGCCTGGGATAGATACCAAAGCATACATGAGATATGACACATCTCTAGTCTGCAATCTTTGTTTTAAACTTTCCTCTTTCAGGTGGTCCTTAGCTTAAAATTGTTTTTTGAAGGGGAGGACATGGAGATGCCCAATTTCAACAACCATTTTTGAGAACCTTCTCTCCTTGAAATACTTTCCTATAAGAAGTGGTTTAGTGGCAGTTTTATCCAGGCCAGTAAGCACAGGAACATTGAGTTGGCTAATTTGAAAAAGCGAAAAACTTCCTGCTGAATTCTTCAAAATATGTCACCTTTCAGTCATGAGGCAGCATCAGATGACCTCTACCAGGGGAGCAGCTTCATCTGACTCCCAGTGGCCCCTTGGTCACCAGGTCAGGCTGCCCGCAGCACCCACCTGCTGCTGCCACCATTCAAAACAATTCCCCCACCAAATCCCTTCCTCCTCTTTCTGCCCGTGCTGTATCTGCTCCCAGGGCAGCCTGAGCAGCCTGCAGCTCTCTGGCACTACCAGGAGAGGGGAATTCACTGCAGGTGGGAGCAGCCATGAGGCTCTCACCGTTTCAGGTGCAGCGGGCGTCTGCTGCCCCTTGGGATGCAGGAAGAACACAGTACATCAGCATTCCAGGTATCCCAGCATAAAGTGCCATGGCCCACAAAGGGGACTACCCTCTGGGAACAAACTGGAGTTCACAGCTCGGTGATGAGGAAGAGCTGGCAGGGCTGGAGAATGGCACAGCAGGAGCACTAACCCCATAAATCGCACATCTGACAGCCAGGCTGTGGTTTGTAATGACAAGTATGCAGAGGGAGGGAAGGGGAATAAGGCTGAAGTACTCTCTGCTGTTAATGTAGGAGCTGGTCCTCACCCTCAGCCACTAGCAAATCCAGCTGTGCTGTAATAGGCAGAAACACACACCAGCTCTGATGAACAGGGTGAGATGTGGAGATCTCATCCTCTCCTAAGAGTTTACAACTGGCCAGAAGGAATGAAAGTTCACAGGCCTGGAGGTTCAGGGTGTAACTTGCTGATGCTTTTTCTAGTCCATAGATCCTGGTGATACAGTAAAACTATTCACAGATAAGAAAATGCATAGGTTTTTTGTGGGCTTTGGTTTGCAGGAATTGCAAGATATGTTTTGTGAGATAACCTCCATCTTATCTATCCATTTTTTCTGTTCTGAATTAGGGCAGGCTGGATGCTAAGGCCATTTCTGCCACAGTGTTAACTCCAGCAGGCAGAACAAGCTTCAATAAAAGAATTTAGCCTTGGCCTGAGATTCAAGGAGTTAAAACATGGCATCAGAGCTACAACAGAGCTTCTAGCATTGGAAGATGGCTTCTTCCACACTACAGAAGAACAGGGAGCCACAATTGGCTAGATAAGCTATTCTCCCTAGACTTACTTCTCTGGCTAAAACAAACAATTGACTTCTAATATTCTTACCATCCACCCATTCTGTATTTTATATATGTTTACACTGATTTTTAGTATTGCAGTCCTCATGCAGTTTCTTTGTATGATCCTCTGAACCAATACCAATTGACTCATATATGTCTGTCAGACAGCTCTTCACCAGCATCGCACTTCTCACACTAATACTTCTCCAGATTTAGGTATTACTTCTTTCTGAGAATATAGTCACAGTTTCACAGGAGCACAGATGAAGAATTCAGCAGGCCTAGAAAACAAATGTTTTTATTCAAAGTTTGTGTTTTTATTCAAAAAATAAAATAAATTTGTGGGTTTGCACATCCTACCTGCACCTGACTTTCTGTTTAATCAACCTCCGTATGTTAATAAATGTTGCCTTAAAATTCTTTCTGAGGCCTTGCACACTATAACATACCTGCATTGTTCTGGTCACTGCTTTCTCCCTTCTTGGATGGATAACATGTCACACTTGCTATTTCTGGTCGTGTTGTCTGCCTCTTGGGCTGGCAGCCATTTAAGCCATCTGAACCACAATTACCTCTGCCCATTATCTCAGAATTTCTTCTCCAAAGTGACCAGCCTTCCCAGTGCACTGTAGCTCCACATATTCCCACACCCCTGACCCTAATTGCTGCCCAGTGTTCTGCCCCTGGAAGAGAAGTCTTTTTTTTTCCCCTCAAAGATGCACCATTAACCTGGTGATCAACAGGACACACAGGTACCGACATCACCAAATTTCTTTCAGTAATAAAGAAAGGAAGAGACTATTTGAGCTATGTTTAACAAATCCACTTACCTAAAGCCCATCAGGGAATAGATCCTCCTGTGTGCGTAGTATAAGCAAAGTATAAGCAAAGACAAATTATCTGTTATTTAAAGACAAAACACACACGTATCATTTTCACGGCCAGAAAGGGGTTGCACGGAGGATTTGTGCAGTTTTACCTCATGAGCTGTCTGTGGCTGTAGGTTTTTGAACACAGCAACACTTTAAAAAAAGTCCTTTCATAAATTCCCCTTCTTCAGGTAGATCTTGAAGGTAAGAACTGCCTTATAGAGCATATCATCACCTTGCCATTACATCACACAATAGCATTTAAGAGCCCACTGTATCGAGGATTGCACGTGCAGCATGGCGCTTGCTGGTATTCACCAAATGCAATTGCCTACAAAGCAGCGTGTCAAAAATACCTGAAAAACAAAATGGGGGACGCTTTTAGTCATTACAGTAAATAATACTTTCCTACCTGACAGCAGAGAAATTTTGTTCAGTGTGTCACGTAGAGCAGCTGGCACAGCCTTCACCTGGTGCAGCCTTCATCTTGTGCCAAGTCACACAGCTCGCACCTCTGAAAGGTGCCTGCTCAGTTCAGGACACTGCTGTCAACCAAAGTTACAAGCAAACAGAGCCAGCTCAGGATGGCTGCCAAACTTGCAGGGACAGGTCTCTTATGCCCACCCTCAAATGAAAAGGCCAGGACAGAGGCCTTTCCTTCTCCAAGGAGGAGGAAGCCACTTCATGGCCTTTGAATATAAAACCAAGAGGTGGAAAAGCTCACAGGAATGTTCTCCCACCTTTCTTGTGGACTTGGTCAGGCTTGCCAACACAACTTGAGCCTTGTCCAAAACAGAAATCACAGAGTAGGTGAACCAGTATGGGAGATCTCAGGAACCCTGGAGAAAGAGGAAAGCAATCTAAAACCCTTCACCTTTAAGTCCTTTCAATTAACTTGGCTTTTCTTACCTTTGATTCAAAATATCTTGTATAATTTATTGTTTGTATTTTGCAGAAGGCCAGCACAGTAAACATGGGCTGGTATTCAGCAATAGTGTACATAAAGGTAATCAGGAACTTGGAATGGAAATTAGGTATGTCAAGACGCTCATCGCAGCTTGACGGAACAACATAATACTGCAGTGTCTCACTGGCCATATATTCAGGGGTTTGTCATTCGAGTGCTTCAAGAGAATGGGAACAGACCACTCAAGCTGCCTTTCTGAAGTATTCCCTAAAACCCCAAGGAGTCAAGAAAGGAGGTTAGAGATGGAGGTAGGTCTTTGGGACCTTCCAAATATGGAATGATGATTCGTTAAAACTCTTTGTGATTCATGCATTTTGTAATAAGAAAATTTCTGAAGGAAAGGTTCTTGGACTGAAAATTGGAGTGTTGTTCAAAAAAAGGGGAAAGATTTGTTGGATGTTAGCCCAAAATGTTTAGTTCATGAGTAACTCCCAGTAAGGCCTGACTGTACATCCTCTTCTAACCATGGCTATTCCATGCAAACATCTATGGGTCATTTGAAGAGCAACTACTGGGGTCAAGAGCTGCTTGAGAGCATTTTCCCTTGAAAAGATTAGGAATAGATAACCTGAGCAACTCCACAGCAGAACTGGCTTTGGAACAAAGGCAGCTGTCCAGCAGGGGCCTGAAGATGCACCTCATTTAGCTAACCCAGTTGCCCTTCATACAATAAGAAGTGACTAAAAATTTCAACAGTAGTCACTGTATGAAATTTTGTGTGTTTAACACCAAATATCAATTCTCTGGAGAGTAAGACTACAAAGTAAATGTGACAAATTAAAATGTATATATTTTTATTCACTTTATGCTCATAAAATCGTTGCCCCTATCAGATGTGTATCACTCTTGGAGGATACTGAGTACTGAGGACACCTGTAAGAGAAATTTTGCATCCTAATAATAGCAAGTCACAGTAAAGCTTTTTTTTTTAATCATTTGTAGGCAAACCAAGCATAAAGGGCATAATAAATTAAAGTTTAAAAGTTAGAAACTAAGAAGGCAAGGAAGAAAGACAAAAACCATGGGTATAGACAACAATGACAGTGCCACATGAAGAATGTAGTTAAGTACAGAGCTTACTATGTGTAAAAAAAAAACCCAAAATAAACAGATGTACAAAGCTGTTTCCAATTTTTAACGTTTCCTTAAACATGTTTCTTCTGATGACTCATAGGAATAATCTGAGGACAACATTTTTAAGAGATGGTCCTATGGAAACACCTCCCTCATGCTGCTGCTTGCCATATATTCCAGATATAAAAGCAAGCTATAAGACAATTACACCTTTCTTTGAGAATTAATTCACATTAAAATTCCCTTTTCTCTAGACTACTATTCTTAGATTCGTATGATCCAGATGTTTAAACCTGATTAGATGTAACAGTGACTGTTTATAAGAATAACAAGTAATTGCCAAGAAGAGGAAAAAAGTGCTCATAGATGTGATGAGTATCATCAAACAACTTGGAGATCTGTAGAGTTTAATGGCATTACTAAAAGCTGGTATTTCTAGTTATATAGACCAACAAGAAAGTACAATACCTTTCTAGTGCTGATCTTTACTTTCTCTGTTCAGAAAAATGCTGCTGTTCTGTAAATCCCTTATTTTTAGTTTCCAGTCAATCATAATCAATGGAAAGAGACCAGCTCTTCCAGAAGGGGTTCAGAAGATAACAACATACCACAGTACTCCTGCAAAACCAGCTTTTTTTCCTCTGCTAATTGAAGAGACACTTTACAAACTTGCTTATTTGAATTCTTTCCCTAAACTCATTTTCTGAACTAAACCAGTACACTGTGACCCCTGATGACTGGTGGGTTACATCAGGACAATAACTTTGGTATCCTGAGCTCCCAAAAGGCAGTGATAAGTATCTTTCCTGTCCACTGGACTAGGTTGAAGGACTTGACTTCAGATACAGCAGTGGTCAGTCTCCTGCTTGGCAAGGTGGGGCTTCCTAAGCAAAGGCAGTGGGGTAAGGCCAGAACACGTAAGAATAAAAACACTATGAACATTAGGGGATGATCCCTCGAGAAGAAGATAATGGGAGAAAAAATACCCCCCATGTTTCCATTTATGATGTAGACTGGACCAGAGTCTCAGCTTGGTGTCTAAAATGACCTTTCCAGAGATCTGAGACATATTTTCATGTTCAATGGAGTCAGTACTTAGGTTTGTTGACCTACTGCCAAACAAGCATCGCCTAAGTGGTGCTGCAGAGAGGACATTGTAATTAGTCTGGACATAGTGCCATCCCACAGCAGCAACACCATCCAGGTGGCCTTGCACTAGGGCCACATCAGGGCATTGTACCACACTGATTTCTCTTGGAGAGGTTGGCTGGGATGATGCACAGTGCTTGGCAAACACCAGTAGATATCACCAGGGTGAAGAAAGACTGGATGTTGACTTTTGAATTATACAGTTGAGGAAAGAAATGTCGTGGTTTATTTAAACATGATACATAAATTCTCAGGCAATCTAATTTATGCCCAACTGTTGATTGTACAGAAATCTCAACTTTGCCTCTGATGACAAAGAGCAAGCAAGGAATGGGGAAGATTACAAGCCAATTTTCTATGATTGCGATCCAAAAAAAAAAAAAAAAAAAAGGGCAAATTAGATGTTTCTTTTTTAAGGAATGTTACTTTCCCTTTTAAGTAATCAGGGGATTACAGTTCTATAAAGTTAAGATCCAAAACCAAGTCAAACTTCAACCAAGCAAAAGGAAGATTAGACTTAAACACCATAAAATATGAGCTTCTTGTCTAACTCCACTATTTTCATCTTTCTCTAGTAGTGGAACTTTTTAGGTTTAAAAAAAAAAAAGTGTAATAGACTAAAAGCATAACAGACTCCTGTTCAATGTAAAGAGTAGTCCAGCTTCACCATTTGTCCTAGCTCAAGTTTCTAGGGCAATTTTTCTGTAGTTCATTTCTGGTATCTCTAAAAGAACCTGAAAGAGGTTGCATCAGCTTTTAAGGAGCTATACCTGTTGGCATGATCTATGTGAATGTTGCAAACTTCTTTTATGCTTATTTTAACTACTCCCAAAATTCAACATGCATTCTAAAGTAGTTTCAGTTATTCCAGAAGTAGCATTAAGACTTTAAATAGATGGTTTTTCCAACTGTTGAACAGCAGCATGTCTCAGGCTCCTTTCTTACACTGGCCTCCACAAACTGCCGAAACGGAGCACAGATACATCTAAGCAAGCAGAATTCAGAGCGATTGGTGATGTTGTCACATCAGTGCCAGGCGGTGTCTCAGCTACCAGGTCATACGTGACAGGTGCAGCATCTCTCTAGTGCAACTACCTTGATTTTTGCTCCAAGCACGCAACTCTGTGCAAAGGCACTTTTTATGAATAGATGAGCTTGGGTTGGCGCTACTTCAAGTCTTTCTTGTGCCATCATTCATGGCTGGTGTGGACCTGTCCTCTGTGAATTAAAAGCTCAAATTCCACAGACATCTAATGAGACTGTTTTTGACATTACCAAGGGCTTCATTTTACTGTGACAAATACTCGTCTTCTGGCCAAAACAGACAAGTCACAGGCACACATGAGGTATCACAACATCCCACATTTCAGGGTAGTTTTTCATCATCCCTTATTCTCCTAGCTGTGCATATGGTTGATCACCAACAGTCTTCATGACTTTGAATATAATTAAAATATATAATAAAGCAGTATAATAACAATAATATGCATATAGAATAATATAGAAGAGTTTCATTTTAAAAAATTTTTAAAAATAGAGGCTAGGTTTGTAAGAGGAGAAGCATGGGTGGAATTACAGGCTGTGAGATAACAGCTCTCCAGACCTGTGTTGCATGGGCAACAGGGCTCCAGAGTCATATTTAACAGCTGTGCAGTTTCCAGAACAATATAGAGGATGCTCATAATTAGCTGATGAGAGGTTTAACCCCTGAGGTTTTGGTGGTGTTAAACACCAAAATCTAGGCTCTGTACATTCGCTTGCACTTCAGCACAAAATTCATGTGGAGCCATCCCTCCTTTTCTGTGGCTCTACAGTCCTGGCATTCACTTGTTAAGCTTTTCACTAAACACAGATAATAAATTTTCTCCATAATTTATATGCTTGGAGGCCTTTGCTAAGAACAATTCATTTTACTCTTGTGTTTTATCCTTGTGCTAATACCCTTGTAGCCAAGTGGATGGAGCTGAAATACAGCTCCAGTAGAAGAGTGATGTTAATGGATTCCCCCCATTTCAAAGAATGCGAGAAGAACATGAAAAAGGAGTGTGAGAATTTTTTACCTCAGTTCTACTTCTATTTTGCAGTATCTGAATGACCAAATGTCTCCACTGTGATGTCAATGAACCACAGATAAAAACAGATGAAGAAGCTGAGAAGCCTGTGGTTATTTTGGCCTCTGATAATGTCAAATTCTGCAAGCTAAGTCTCTACTGAACACCTAACATTGCTTCATTCCTGAGTAGTACCACAGAAGACAGCTTTGTGATCTAATTTTAAAAAGTGTTTTGTTTGAAAAGCTTGTTAGCCTTTGAGATAAAGTTAGCTTAGCTGCAAACCTATCTATCAAAGTTTTATTTGATTGCAAATAAAAAATCCAAATTAAAAGGCCAAGCAAACACCACCTAAATATGAAGACTTACATATTCAAGGTTCCCAGATTCTCTGTTTGTTTTCTTTGGCTCTAAAGTCATGATTACTCATTACTGTTTTTAACACCAACCACGTGCTTCTCTCAATATTAAAGAAACAAGCAGCATCACATTCCTACAATGAAAGGAAAGTCAAACAGACAATACAGCACCCCAGCCTTGTTCGAGGAAGACTATGCATATGGAAAGAGTGAGTCCAAGTAAATGAATAACACCCCCT